ATAAAATATTGGTATCGGTACTCGGTATCGGCAAGTACCAAAAATAAAAGTATCGGTATCGGGCGAGTACTCGAAAAAGTGGTATCGGTGCATCCCTATATGGAAGTCAATGGCTACCATCAACTGTTGGTTACCAACATTCTTCAAAATATCTATAGTAAATGATGACAGAATTTCTGGGTTAACTATCCCTTTCAGCGCTACTCTGTAAGAACTTTACTTGCATTGACTTGCATTACAATGCTATGTTGTAAGTGTCTCCCATCAGGTAACCAAAAAGTTCTACTGTACACACACTTGAACACTTGGGCCAAATACAGGAAATGCATCATGTAAGTAGACCTGTTTACAGGTGCAAAACCAGCAAGTGTGAAACTTGACAGGGACACAATGACCAGATTGGAGGTGTTGGTCAGAGCTGTAATGCAATACAAAAAAAGTCACAAATTTGGATATAATTCTATTCGCAAAAAGCTTTGCCTGATCCATGCCTGGAAAAAGAGATTTTAGAAGACATAACATTAAGAATTGTTAAACATTACAGAACATTAAGAACTTGCATAAAGACGAAGAGAGTTAAAAAAACGCTCACAAGCCTTGATATTCATCAGTCGATGACAAAACAAATGGCCATAAGACCAATTTATACAGAAGTACATGGTAAATCCAAGGGTTCACATAGCTTTTACTCAACTGTAGCAATGAAATTGCATACATTTGTGTGATTGAGAATAAAAGCGTGCATAGAGAAACAAGAGAATCAGAGGCCTTCTCAGCTGAGCGCAACTAAGAGGCGTATTTTGGATGCTAGGTCTTTCCAAAACAAATTGCTGTGATTTAATATTGTATCATTTTAGCCCACAAACCTAGGTTTTTATTGAATTTGGGATAATTGAAGGGGTGTATTATGAGAAACCCTCTCTCTCCAGCTGTTCCGAGTGCCAAGTAAAAGGCCGGGGCTCTCCAAGGGTTGAGGCCTGCCAGGACGCCCAAGGCCTCAGCTGGTTTGTGTTGTCCCAGTAGCCCGGGGATGTTCGGTAAACAAACTTCATTTTTTATTCTTTCTCTCCTAGAATTGCTCATGCCTCTAAACCCCCCCTTCATAAAAAAATTTGAAGTGCACACACTGGTGCTAGGCCATTTCCCAGGGGTACAGCGCTAACAATATGGCGGCCGTGCCTTTTGGATGTACTCTGGTTGTGCTTTTCATGGCAAGAGAGCAAAAATCCTAGAGGAGACCAAAACACCACAGGACGAAACCAACTCAGGCTGCAAACGTGTGTTTGACGCACAAAAGTGCTGATTTTAAATCTCAATTCAAGCATTCCATCTGTCCTCCCTTATTTTGTTAGCGTTACCTATTGAACATTGGGACACCTCCAAACATACTGACAAAATGGTTAAATGACAGAGGAATACACTGGATACAAAAAAAAAAAAAGTTTTAAAATATCAATATTTGAAAAATTCTGTTCACCAAATAAAAATAAATTATATGAAAAAAACATTTTTTTTTTTTTAAATAAATTATATTCTATTTAAAATAAATAGATCATATTTTATTCATTTTAATATTTATATACCATTATACTTTAATATACTAAAAACTTTCCTCATGCATTTTAAACCTTTTTTTAAGATTTCTCCTTTGCTATTGACCCAAATACAAATAAATTCCAGTTCAAATTAAAGTTTTATGACAGTGTGTGTGTGTGTGTGTGTGTGTGTGTAGCTGAAAAGAAACAGCGAGACTGAGAGATAAGATGGAAATTGATCTCTGCTAGACTGTCTGTCTGCTCTTCACACAGACCTTTCCCAGAGGAACTGCAGAGAGAATCACAGACAGACAAAGACCTTGAGGGGAAACTCACTAGTAAACAGTCTACACAAAGACAAAAGCATCAGGCCTGAGGGTTTTACTGTTTATCAAAATATAAGTATGCTTCTTAGCGAAAAGCAGTGTTTAAACTGGAATAGTTCAGGCCCATCATGTTTTATATAAGGAACAGTTTCTCCAAATCTGGTGGTTATTTACTCATGTTGAAAACCTGTATGACTTTCTTTCTTCTGTAGAACACAAAAAGAGAATGGATAATGTACTGGTTGCTTTTTTTCAGGGAATTACAATGAATGCTTGAAAAAACAAACAAACCATGATCTTAATTTGGATTATTTTGGAACTAGTTATATTGTGTCTAAAATATGGAGTATTAAATTATTGATGATTGATTCAGTCTGTGGCTGATGTAAGAAAGATGACTAATTCTTATGCAAATATTACAATGACATTATCTTCTGTCAGCAGCACATCAGATACGGTGCAGTGTAATGACAAGACCACTCAGTATGCAAATAGATAGAAGAAAGAAGGCCATTCGAAATATGCAAATATTGCAATGATGCCACAGTTGACTATCAACGTAAACTCAAATGCACATTCAAAAGTATGCAGCCAGTGAGATTGTTTAAGGTTGTCGAAAGAAGTCTCTTCTGCTCACCAAGGTTGAATTGAATTATTTCAATACATTTTAAAATGCAATTTATTCCTGTAATGATGACAAAGTTGAATTTTCAGCATCATTACTCCAGTCTTTAGAGTTACATGATCTTTCATAAATTATTCTAATATGATGATTTGGTGCTCAATAAACATTTCTTATTATTATCAATGTTGAAAACAATAGATTTTTTAACAACGTAAAAGTCCTTTCTGACACTTTTGATCTTTTAATGCATCCTTGCTGAATAAAAGTATTTTGTTTTTATCTTACTTCATGCTTTTAGACTAGAGTGTACGTCAAAGAAAGTTTTCAAACATTGAAAATGTAAAAAAGAAAATCTAACACAAAAATTGCTTCGCCACAAGTGCTCAAGGCCCAATTAATTGCAGAAGAGCAAACCTCCAACCATAACACATAAGAGATATCAATAAAAATCACTGTACTTTATGTCGGAATCAAGTTATTGTGTATTATGACTCTGGCCTGAGATGCGTGTGTGCGTGTGGAGGTTTGGCAGCACATGTATGTGTCAACAGGAGGGGATCTGGAACGTCATAATCCATTTTCTCAAACATGCCACATCACTGGAGGTCATGATATGTTTCATATCAGTAATCTGTTTGCAAGGACTCAGCTTGACATTAATTAGCTTGCATTTCCCAACAGGATCAATAAAACAGATTCCCAGCAATCAATTTCCAATGCGAGCAAGATCTATAGAGGGTGGAGTGCATTTTTACAATGTCACAACCGCAGTCATGTGAATGGAAAATCCTATTGGGTTTCATCAAAAGTCGCCTGTTAGACATTCTTCGAGGCTTTTTGCCATTTATGAACCTAAACTATTGTCAAAGACATGGCAAAATTCAGTCGAAAAATGATGTAAGTGTGAAGCAAAGTGGAGGTCGCTGTGACATTTGCAAAAACGAAGGTGGCTGGAAAATATTACCCTTCACCAAGCTGCCAACTTTTTAACAGTAAGCACACTTACGGATCGGTTCGACTGAGGAGCCAAGGTGCGAGTGGATGGACTCCAGAAGGTCATAATCATCAAAATCCAGCACAAACTCCTCAAAGCCGTCCACGGCGAAGCTCCCCAGAGGGTTTTCCTGATCCCCATAACACCCCTTTCCAGAGTCCACATCGGAACCGCCGCTCGTATCCTTCTCCTTCCCCACGTCTGTCATCTCCACACCTGGTACCTCCGGATCATCCAGGATGCAACCCTCTTTCATGCCGCTATTTTGTACCTTCTCCCGTCAATAATGTAGAACTCAAAAAACTGATGCAAAATTAGTTTTTACTGCATCCCAGTCCAATCTTCAGGGTTTTAGGAATGGATCCTGGAAGTAAGAACTATGGAATGACCATGAATCGTGCAATTAATCTTGTTTGCAATCCAATTTTGTCCAAGAAGAAAGAAGGAAAAAGATAATCTCTCAGCTGGGCCCTCAATCCATAGAGAGCTTGTAATATCCACCTGGATGCCTGATGAGAAAATAGTTTCTGGCCTCAGGGTTTCCAAACAGATGAGCAGTGGTTCTGTGAGACGTGTCCGCTTGTACGCAAGCAAACAGCAGGGAACACTGAAATTGGCTGACAATCCAGAGGAAATGTTGATCCAACTGAACTACTTTTGAGGTCTCGCACAAATCTATTGGCTGCCTCTGTGATTTCCATGACGTTGTCGATTGATCCCGTGGCTGCATGAGGGACAGAGATGCCATCCTCTGTCCGGGTTTCCCTCATCAGGTCCGAAGCTGGTTACACCACCCTATCAAAACAGCACAGGTGAAATCCTCCTTCCGAAACAATAGCAGTGCCGATGAAGTGCACAACATGATGCCACACATCACACAGTGCTGTCTCCACATGACTAATCTCCATGGAAACCACGGCTGCTTCTAGAACTTGTTTTCAAGCTCTTACCTGCCCAGTGATGAGCCAATCACCGTCCAGATGCATCCAAAAGCCTACATAGTAAGACATTTGCAAGGTTTATTTACATATTATGCATATCAGAGGAACACTGTATTGCTCTTTTATAGAGACATAAAGATAACTCAATTATGCATTAGGAAAAACAAATATGGACTCAAATTAACCTATTATGTAGATAAGATAAAGAGCTCAAATAATTTGATTTTGGGAGATTTTAATAAGAAATGTGACCCTGGACCACAAAACCAGTCATAAGGGTCAATTTTTGAAATTGAGATCATCTGAAAGCTGAATAAATAAGCTTTCCATAGGACAACATTTGGCCAAGATACAATTAGTTGAAAATCTGGAATCTGAGAGTAAAAAAAAAAAAATCTAAATATTGAGGAAAATCACCCTTAAAGTTGTCCAAATTAAGCTCTTAGCAGTATATTACTAATCAAAAATTAAGTTTTTATATATTTAAGGTAGGAAATTTACAAAATATCTTTATGGAACATGATCTTTACTTAATGATTTTTTTGGCATAAAAGAAAAATCAATAATTTTGGCCCATACAATGTATTTTAGGCTTTTGCTACAAATATACCCATGCTGCTTATGACTGGTTTTGTGGTCCAGGGTCACAAATTCAGTGGTAGACAGTAATGGAGTAGCTTTACTTCGTTACTGTACTTAAGTACATTTTTCAAGTATCTGCACTTTACTGGAGTCGTTTTATTTTGAGTAATTCCAAAGCATAAGATCGTACTTTTTACTTCACTACATTTCATAAAACATATCGTTACTCCTTATAATATATCACGTGCTCCGAGACGCAGAAAAGGTGTCTGATTCAAGAACGAATTCTTTTCAATGAACCTTTTAAATCGGTTCGCAAATCGCACCAAACGATTCATTGACGAATTAGAATGAACCGATTGCAGTTGTTCTCGAGTCGACAACTAACTGATTCAAATGAACCGTTTAGTGCGAGTCTCCAGTGAACTGAATTCACAGGTAAGAACCGGGAAATCTTGTGAGCGCGCGCGCGTCTGATGCTGCTAAAAGTAAGTAACTAATGTCGAATTTTAGGATTAATTATTGTAACTGAAAATCATATTTAGGTCAAAACTGTCAGTTGTTTGTGAACTAAATCTGCTGTAAA